TTACCGGCATGATATGGATAGATGACTCCAATGTTTTCCCACAAATCTTTCAATCATGTGGGCTCTACCAGGTGGCCAGAGAAACAAACTCATAGCACAAATGGCTTCCATGATGGTGCCTATTACTTCACAGAAACAAAGAGGTTTAATGGCCTCAATTTTTATTAGTTCTGTAGCTCTTGTGGCTTTAGTGGGTAGAGAATTGCACTGCCACCAGCTACTCCACAGAGAAAGGTGGAGAAATCTCCTCCCACGCGATTTACAGCCTTTGAAAGCCCACTGGAAGGTCATCAATGAGTCAGTCCTGACTTCACAGCAGTGGATGTGAGGGTTTTTAAAAAATATCTAGCCAACCAGAAAGAAACAGGGTAATAGTGGCATAGTTCAGTGGTTTGTTAATTTTCTAAAACATAATGAATGGGAAAGATTGTATGAAACACGACATGAACGAAGGTTGTTGTGAAATATGCAAACCAATATAAAATAAAGATTTTTAAAAAGAGGGTGGAAGCAAAGGGGTAAGGATGGGCGGGGGCAGGATAGTTAATCATAGGATAGTACATTTTGATGGATGGAGGGGAGGAGGTGAAGGAAATGGGAAGGATCCAGTGTGAAAAACAATGTGTTTGAACTTTGTAAGTAAACCAGTGTAAAATTTAAAAAATTAAAGAAAAGAAAGAGAGCCCTGGCATTGGAGATCAGAAACCTGGGTTTTAGATCTAGTTTCTGATGTAGGACTTTAAGCAAGTCACTGTACCTTTGCTAAGTTCATAGCTACTGTTTTGAGGCCCAAGTGACAATATATGTGAATACTGCCCCTTTCCTTCTGAGTTGCCCCCCCCATGCCATAATGATCATGATGTTTTCATCTCTTTACAAAGTATGATCCTATCTTGATAGCCACCTAGCCACATGTGGTTATCTAGTCCTGAAAATGTGACTCATCTGAATTGAGGTGTGCTGTAAATGTAAAGTGCATACTGGATTCATAAAACTGAACAGGAAAAAGGAATGTAAGATCTCAGTAATTCTTACTTGATTAAATGTTGACAATACTTATGACAAGTTGGGGGTAAAAAGCTCATGAAAGTTAAACACACTAATTCATTATTTTTTTAATGTGGCTTCTTGAAATTTTATAATACTTTATAGTAACTTGTGTTACATTGATGTTTGGACAGCGCTAGGGTAGTGTATTTTGCAAATGGGTTTGGTTTCTTTGTAGAGCATTTTCACACGGATTCTGGCCACTTCAGAGTTAGGCAAGGTAGGTCCAGCCTATACCTTTTGTACTGATGAGGACACTACAGCCGAAATGGATGAAGAGGCTTGCTTGCCCAGAGCCACACAGCTTGTTATTAGCAGAGAGACTATAATTCAGCTTTCGTGAGTGCTCGCCAATTCAGGGGGGTTTTCCCTATACCACACTGCCCCCTACAGTTCAGTTTGGTTTTGTCACAGCAGCCATAGTGTTTTCCTGTGTTAAGATTGTATGATCTTTGGTGTTATTACTCTGTTCACAGATTCATGCTTTTCCCTAACTCCCCTTCCCTTCCTTGTTATTATTTTAAGGATTTACCCAGATGCGATTTTACCTGGTTCCCTTCTGCCTTATAAAAAAGGGACCAAGGCCAATGACAGTACACGGTGATAAATTGTAGCACTGTTTCAAGCACAGCATTTCCACATGTAGTAGAATATGTAGTTCCACAGTGTGGACTGGAAAACAGAATCCCCATTTGACTGTAGAGATATCATCACTGCAAAACAGCTCTATTCATACAACAGCAGGGTATTTTGATAGGATGGGAATCAAGAAGCCAGGGGTTTTAGCCCATGTGTTCCAATATCTAATGCCATATAATGATCTCAGTTCTAATATCTGCTTAATGGGCACATTCACAGACATCTTTTGGACCCTCTGACAGCAAAAGTTGTGAGAAGAAAAATGGTAATACGTTTAAATTATTCTGGACTTTTCAGAGAAGACTCCACTCTCAAATCTAAAACCCAGAGTACCTCAACTAAATTACCACATTTCTTGTCACAATCTTCCTGTCAGAGTACACACAGAAGGTGCCTGCATCTTGGCAGGAGCTGCCAAGTAACCAGCCTATGAGATAAGCTTCACCTTCTTTCTCTTGTTCCCTGTGCAGTGATTGAACATCCCTGATTATCTGGATTGGTCCAGTTTCACATACTTTACCCCACTTCCCCTGTCAGCACATTCACACTTGTAGCCCACCGGTCCTCATGTGCAGATTGTTAAAAGAGAATCACAGCTGTGTGCCTCTGTTCAACGGCCCAGCAAGCACAGGGTAAGGCAAAAATGGAAGGAGTGAGGGGAAGCAGAAGAGCAGAAACTGGCAACTCCTGAGTTAACTAATGGGTGGATCAGAGTGGCTCGATAAGTGGTGGTGTCCTTCAGCTGAACCTTCTGAAACCCAGAAAACACCCCAGAGAGCTTGGGACTTGGAAGGGTAAGCCTGGGAACAGCTTGCAGCTTTCCTGGCTGTGGATGAGAAGGGATGCTCATGACAAGGACTGACTGTGACAGGGCCAGGGCCAGGGGATATCTTGTTAGCACAGATTGTTCAGCAGGTTCTCTGCCCTGGGAGGCAAGCTGAGCCCACAGCATAGTGTCTTGCCAAGACATTTATGTTGTTTTTTTTTTTTTGGCTGGGACGACGCTCTCCTCCACTTTGTGGCTTGAGCTCTCAGACACTCTCAGCGAGCAAGAGTCTAGAGGTTCTTTCTAATGTCTTTAAGAAAGTACAAGGGCCCCTTGTATTTACAAGGGAGAGCCTCATAGCCAGGGTGAGGACACGAAATGCTTCCTGGACACTCATTCCCTCACCATTTAAAACAGTTTTATTCTCTGGGTCATTATTCTATTGAATTCCCTCAGGATTTAGAAGTATGTTCAGTCTGTAGGCAGACAGAAGATGTCTAATACGATATAGACCTACTTAAAAACTCTTATGCACTACCAATCTTAGTGCTTTAGAGGCTTAGGGGAAAAGAAATCACATGGGCAGCCATAGCTTTAATAGACAGAGTAGGGAAGGCCGCTTAATGTATTTAAGAGACATATTCCACCAGGTGGCAGCACGCCTTGGTTTGAAATTTAAGATGACGAAATGGCATTTTCAAATACGTTTACATTCACTTTAACCCAAAGACCTTTTAAGTAGAAATTTTGTTCAGCACGAGACCTGGGCTACTTGAGACCCAGCAAATGGAGATATAGAAAAGAGAAAAGGCAAATAGAACCTCAGCCTGCTTTGAATTAGACATTTCACACAACACACACACATCCTCCACAATGCTATCTTCAATAAAAAGACAATACCAACAAAAAGCCCACATTCAAGCAAAACCAAACAAACAAAAGCACCTTGGAATTGGAAAATTAGGGGTTCAGCCAGCTTTCACTACTTTGGGGAACAGTCTCAGTATGTAAGGGGGAGAAAAAGCTACAAATGGGACTGGAGTGATGTTGTTACACCAACTGAGCCAGGTCACATCAAGAGGACAATGGGAGATGTGCCACTGCCACATTTAGCCACATTATTCTCTTTTATTCGCAGCTTACATTTAAGAAGCTTCATTGCCCGCTTTGCTGTCCCAATAGTTCTAAATGTGTTTGCCAAAATCCAAGCATCAGTGCTGTTTTAAACAACACCAATGAAATAGGCTCAATTAAGTTGCCTTGAAGGGCTCTATCCACTTTGGTAATGAACTTTTCTGTATTATAGGGGCCCAAAATATACTGGCGCGGGGGAGTGGTGGGGGAGAAGATCCCACTCTGCTGCTTGGATTCTTAATGTGTCCCTAGAGTTTGGGGAAAGCATGTCTCTTGTCTTTAAGTCATAGCCATGACTCTTAGCTTCCCCTCGTTAACTCAGGATATGAAGAACTGGAGACTGTCTCCTGATCTCCTTTGGTGTATTCCTAGGGCCATGTGGCCCTGTGGTCCCCCCAAAAAAGGAACTGCAGGACCCCCGGCCAAGTTCAGATAAAAGTACTCTTTTCTACTGAGGAGGATGGTGTGCTCATCATGTCACCAGGGAGAAAAGGGTCTTTCCTCCCATTTGAGTCCCAGGGTTTTACACAGTCCTCCACTTGGGGGTCAAAGAATCAAGCTCTTAGACTGTGCAAGGCAATTTAGTCATGTGGAAAAGGCCTGGGAGTGGAAATCAGGCCTGGCTCTCTCGGGGACTCTGTGACCTCTCACCATGTCACCAGTTGGTATAGAGTTGATTCTCACTCATGGTGACCCCGTGTGTGTGTGTGTGTGTGTGTGTGTGTGTGTGTGTGTGGTGGGGGCGGGGGAGAGAGGAGAGTGAAAACATTAACTATGCTCCATAGGTTTTCAGTGGCCTCAGTTTTTCTAAGTAGGTCACCAGGATTTTCTTTTGAGGCACCTCTGGGTGGACTCCAACCTCTAGTGTTTCGATTGGCAGCCCAATACCACTCAGGGATTCCTCTGTAATCTGTATAAGCTGCTTAACCCTCAGCATATTAGCTTCCTCTTCTATAATGTCGACATTAAATGCGTAATAATTCCTATGCTGTTAATATTGTTGTTATTGCTATGTAGCATCGAGTCAGAACTGAAAAACTTTGGTGAGTTTTTTAGAGGTAGTTAACCGCATGAGAGGAGACAGCCCATCTTTCTCCCAGAGCAGCTGGTGGATTCAAACCATGTGCCTTCAAAATTGTAAGGCAACTTCTTGCCACTAAGCTACTAGAGCTCCATATGTGTAGTATAAACACATGCAATAGTGTTTTGGGAGGAAGACATCTCTTCTTAAACCAAAGGAAACCTTGAATGAACGGACTAACTTAATTTCAGGCCCTACGTGCTTTGCAGGCTGTGATAAGAGCTTCAGCAAACCAAGCCTTCCTGATGGATCAATGGATCAATCAATCTGATTTCACATTGCCCTTTGAAATGAAATGTTATAACTTATGGCTTCTTTCCTCCTCCCCTTTAGGGATTTGAAACTCCTGGAGAAAGGGGAGAAAAGGGAATTCCTGGTGTGCCAGGACCTCGGGTATGAATCTAGAATGTTGCTTCTGTCAAGTCACCTGGCCCATTATTCTTTCTGGGTTGCTTCTTTCCATTCTGTAACTTTATGACAACCTAAGTTTCTCTCATTTCTCAACCCTCTGGCACGCCCCTCTGGCACGTCCTCTGTGCCTCTTAGCTCCATTCCCTTGGCTAAGAGGCTCCTTTGAATAAGGAATTATGCATTCCCTACTTTAGGTATCTCCTCGGCCTGTTTATTCTGCTAGCCCTCTTCTGGGCTTAAGAATGGCATTAGTGTTGTCTTGCTTTGATTCTGTCTATTCCAAGGGAATGCAAATGAGTGGTGTTGCAAGGATGGGATAAAAGGAGGGCTAAGCGCAATCTATATAAGACTGAAACAAGCCTGGGAAATTTTAGGATACAGTGAGTGCTATTTGGAGTGAACTGTTTTCAATAAGCTCACTTCAAAAAGAGAAATATCTATTAGCTTCTTTGATTCCTAGATTCAGGCACTTAGGTTTGGGGCTATTAAGCAGTTGGCCTTTCAAAAGTAGCACTTTAGACAGTTATGTTTTTAGCCTGGCCATGAAACTTGTAAGGGTCCTGTGGAGTAGCAAAATTACTATATTTACCCATTCCTTTCTCTTCTTGTCCCTACTCCCTTATCTTGAAAAGCATATAATCACCAACAAAGAATGCTTTTGGAGTTGGGCAGTAAAAGATCCTTCTATTGAAGAAAAACCTCATGATTTGGAACTAATGCACACCGAGTATAATTCTGGCCAGGACTCCCACCTAATTCCACCTAATATTCCATGTAGCTATTCAGACTGATGGGTCAGTTTTTAAGAAGGAAGGTAATTAGCCAGATCTAGGAGCATTCTCTTACCTGATTTTAAAACAAACATAAACAACAAAAAGTTTAATTGATTTACATTCGTGATTTTGCTGTTGTTGTTTCCCATCGAATTGGAACCAATTTGTAGCTGACCCTCCAGCAGGTTTTCAGAGGCAGTTAATCACACGGGAGGAGATTGCCCATCCTTCTCCCACAAAGCAGCTGATGGATTCGAACCAAATACCTTCAGGATTACAGCACAGCTTCTTGCCACTAGGCCAGTAAAAATCCTCAACTCAATTGAGTAGTTTTGTTATGTAAATCTAGTGGCTTTTTCTCATGTGGACTCTTAATCTTCCTAAGATGTATCTATTCTCTTTGCAGGGTCCTATGGGCTCAGAAGGCCAGTGGGGCCCTCCTGGGAATCAGGTATTTTGGTTACCAACATGAAAAGCTTTGTGTACATGATCTTAATCAACAGATCTTGTTTTTCTTCACATCTCCTTAAGTCCAAATGGAGATAATGCTTATAATACAAATTGTCCACCTCCCTTTAATACTCTGACTCATTCTCTTCCTTTGTTTTCACTTAAGAAAATGGAAAGCTGGGATCAGGTGTGGTGCCTTGGCAAGTCATGATGTCATAATACTTTGATGTGTTATCAAGGTCTAGCTCAGCCATCTTGGGCCTTGTGGCACTTCTACTCCCTTATGTACAAATTGGTTGCCTAGTGCTATACATAATTATATATATTTGTGGGGTTTTTTCCCCCTTTGTGACCGATTTATTTTACTCAGCATGGCATTTTCATGCCTAGTGCTGTATTGCCTTCCAGAAGACTTTGCAGATTCTCAAATTAAATAGAAGCCGATCCCTGGAATGCTAGACAAGATCCCTATGCCTTTTACCGTGACCTAACCCAAAGACTAGCCCCTTCCTATGATACTAGACATTCAACTTAATGGTAACTCTGTTTCTGTCACAGGGCAGAAAGGGTGCACCAGGTTTCCCTGGGATTCATGGATTGCCAGGAATTAAGGTAATGTTCTTGCGAAGTGACAAATCCAGGGTTTAGGGAGGTGGGACATTCAAGAATTACTATACACATCTGAGGTTTTAGATGCCACTCTTTTTCTCAAGAAACATGTGCAAGTAACTTTAAAACACACAAAATTACAAAAGTGTTGTGTATTCCATAGATACTACTTCATCAGTTGAGGGCCACGGGGTGGGAGCTGGTGAAGTCAAGTCCATTTCTATGATGAGAAGTCATTTGTTACCAATAATGTTGCAGGCTTTTTATTCTGTTAACTGTTTTTAAATTCTCTAATATTTGGTGCAGACAGTTCCTACCCCCATATGCTTGATATGCCACTGTATCTGATTGTGATACTCAAGTCCTTCTGTTGGGAGCTTTAGGATACCTTTGATTTCCTCTGCCTGGTATCTCTCTCAGTTATGCAGTGACAGTAGCAGAGTTCCAAGGCTTCTTGGGGTGGGCGGTAACCCCCCCAAAAAATAAAGCTAAAACTCTGCTCCTTCTGTGTTAGAACCTCTTGTTGCTGTTGTTCATTGCTGTCAAGTCAGAACTGATTCATAGCTGACCCTCCAGTGGGTTTTCAGAGGCTGAAATTGCACAGCAGGTGATTGCCTATTCTTCCCCTTCAGAATAGTGGTGGATTTGTACTGATTGCCTTCTGGTTGGCAGCACAACGCCTTACTACTTAGATGGATCCGTATTGTCTAGGTCTGTAATACAGTTTCTAAGTCTAGAAGGAGATCATCCTGCAGTAGGGCTGCAAAATTAAATTGGAATCCTTTATTCTGAATGGGTTTATAATTGAGTGATGGGCCTCTGGGCTACCTTATATTGTCTTCCTGTTGGTTCAGGACAGGGCAGGGTTCAGAGCTATGAGTTGAAGGCAGGCAGGGTTCAGAGCTATGAGTTGAAGGCAACTTGACAGCACGTAACAACAACAACAACAATAACAACATGGTTGACCCTGCAAAACAGGATATACAAGAGGAGGAACCTTACATTCCCTGAGGCTTGACTTTTAGGGCACATAGATCTTGAGTAGTGAATTTGTGAAAATATTTATGTTTAATAGATTTAATCTTTGCAGGGTAGCAAAGGTGCCAGTGGCCTTCCAGGCCCAAATTTTGCCATTGATACAGATGGTGCTGTGATCTCAGGTATGACTTTTCATTTATTTGAGCTCAGAAAAATACCTCTGGAAGTTCAAGTTTAACTAATTGCTGTTGGAACCAACTCATAGGTGCCCTGTCAGCAGGTTTCCAAAGCTGTAAATTGCATGAGAGGAGATAACGCATCTTTTGCCCTTTGAGCTGCTGGTGGGTTTGAACTGGCAGAGAGGCGTAGCCTTTGGATTAGCAATACAACTCCCTACAGACTAGGTCACCAGGAGTTAAATTTTCATTTCCTATAATTGTTATTAAAGGGTGCTCACTCTGGTAGCATAGTCTGTAAATTGACTGAGGTTTCCGTGTTCAATTGCCAGGAGCCTACGTGTATAACAAGAATAACAGACAGCCATGCCTTAAACCAAATGGAAGACATTTGAAACACTAAAATAGATAAATTGCTGTTGTTGTTGTGTACCGTAGAGTTGGAACCAACCAATAGCTGACCTTCCAGGGGGGTTTTCAGAGGCAGGTAATCACAAAGGAGAGTGCCCATCGTTCTCCCGCAGAGCAGCTGGTGGCCTTGAACCATGTGCCTTTGAGGTTGCAGTGCAGCTTCTTGCCACTAGGCTACCAGAGCTTTAGTCATAGGAAAATTCACCTAATACTTACCAGATCTTAGCATAGAAGTCAAGCCATAACCAGACAAGACCAATTCTGAACAATAATTGGAACGCTGGTTCTGTTAGGGCCATTATCATATAAGGCCATTAGCATCTGTGAGACCTGGAAAGAGCAAGAAAGGTCCTTTCTGGTACTAACTAGGCCCCACATTGTTTAGCATCAGAGATCAGATGAGGTGGCGCATGTTCAGGGTAGTATGACTATGGATGAAAAAAAGGCACATCTAACTTCTACAAGGCAACTCTATTTTTTCCTATGCACTTCCTGCTATTTGTGGAATTCCTCTGGGATTTATTTACTGTTTTTGTCTGTTTGTTTTTAATGGTAGGTTATCCTGGAGACCCAGGTCTACCAGGCTTACCTGGATTTAAAGGAGAGGAAGGCACCCGTGGCCCACCTGGCCCTTCTGGCATCCCTGGTCTCCCAGCAATTTCAACAGGTGAAAGAAACTAACCTCCCCTTGTAAATATCATTTCCGTATCTGCTCTAGTGTCCATATTGCCCTTCTGCACCCCTGGGTCTGGGTACACTCCTACACAATCTGAGGAAGCATAATAGACCATTGTCAATAAGTCCACCGGCAGCCCAGGGCTAATTAATGTATAGGCCAAGGGGGCCCAAGTGAGTGGCTTTCCTTTGGGCTAAATAATATTCCTGGACAGGAATTCCCAGGCTGCCTTGGAGGTTTGCAGCAACCAGAGAAGGTCTGGGTAGAGCTGTACCTCTAACTATGGATGTGCCATGTTGGCTTCTGCTTAGAATATTCAGAGGAAAATATGTACCCAGTTCTCTATATCTAACTCGGGTATTAAATGGTCTCAGGATCCTGTGCTTGAACCAGTCATCAGAGGGGATATCCCAAACACCATTCTATAGTAGCAAGGAGAGAAAGAGTATATACCAGGATCAGGGAAGCAGTGGTGTCCAGATCATTTAAAGGCACCAAAATAAAAACCTCCTGTAGATGGGCCTTCGAAGGATGATGTTGGTATTGTTGTTTTTTTTAGGTGCCATCGAGTCAAGTACATCGCATAGTGACCCTATGAACAAAAGATCTGAAACCACCCCTGTCCTATGCCATGCTCCCACTTCCTGACACACAAGAGCCCATTGCAGTAGTCACCCTGTCAGTCCACCTGGTTGAAAGTCTTCCTTTGCTTCGCTGACGCTCCAACCTTCCCAAAATCATATTTTCCTCATTTTAACGAACTTCCAGTCTGGGCTCTACCACGACATTATTTTATCTATCCTCTTTGTTTAGTGTTGATACAAAAGCCTTTTCTTTTTTTAATTGAAATGTTAATGAAAGTTTATATAGACATTGGAATTACACTCATTCATTATTGCACATTTTCCTCCCTGCCCACCCCTCCCCCAGTTCACCAGTTGGTTTTTCTCTTTGAAAAGTAAAAAAAAAAACCAACCCAACCTCAAACCAACTTTCATTATTATACAATCCCTCCCTCAAGTCCACTCCCCCATGCAGCTCTCATTCTGGACTCTTGTCATGAAAATAATACCTATTCATATATTCTTTTCAAATAGTTCTCCCCCTCATCTGTTTCAGTGCAGTGTATACATTATGTAAACCCTCTTTTCTTAGATTCCCCCTAACCACGATGTCAGTCCTGTTTTGTAACAGTGGCATTATGCAGTATTTGTCCCTTTGTGACTGAGGTATTTCACTCAGCGAAATATCCCCCAGGGTCACCCATTTTGTATTATATTTCATGAGTTCCTTGTTTTTCAATGCAGCATAATATTCCGTTCTGTGAATATACCACAGCTTCTCTATCCATTCGTTTCTTGATGGGCACTTGGGTTGTTTCCAATTTTTTATTTATTATTAATTTTCATGAAAATTTACAGAGACTTTGGATTTCCATTCATTCATTGTTGCATTTTTCTCCCTGCCCACCTCTCCCTCCCAGTTCACTCTTCTCTTTGAAAAGTAAAAGAAAAACTTTTTTCATTGCTCACCCCCACCCCCAAGTCCACTCCTTTATGCAGTCTTCATTCTGCATTCTTGTCATGACCACAATACCCAATCATATATTGCTTTTAAAGAGTTCTCTCTCTCATCTGTTTCAATGCAGTATACATAATTTATCCATTCTTTCTCAGTCTCACCCTGACCCTGATGTCAGTCCTGTTCTACAACAGTGGCACTATGCAGTATTTGTTCTTTTGTGACTAAGATATTTAACTCAGCATAATGTCCTCCAGGGTCACCCATTTTGAATAATATTTCATGAGTTCCTTGTCTTTCAATGCAGCATAGTATTCCATTGTGTGAATATACCACAGCTTCTCTAGCCATTTGTTTGTTGATGGCCACTTAGGTTGTTTAAAAATCTTTGCTATGGTGAACAAAGCCGCAATAAACATGGGTGTGCATATATCTGCTTGAGTGGCAGTTATGGTTTCTTTAGGTTATATTCCCAGTAGTGGAATTGCTCCCTCAAATGGTATTTCTATTTGCAACTTTTTGAGAGGGTGCCATACAGCCTTCCATAGTGGTTGCACCATTTTACACTCCCACCAACTGTGAATAAGTATTCCCTGTTTCTCCACAATCTCGCCAGCATTTGATTTTTGCTGTTCTGTTAAATTTTGCTATTTTTACTGGGGTGAGATGATATCTCATAGTTGTTTTGATTTGCATCTCTCTTAGAGCTAGGGATTTTGAACATTTCGTCATGTGCTTGCTCATCATCTGAAAATCTTCTTTGTTTAAGTGTCTGTTCATATCCTGTGCCCATTTTGCAATTGGGTCGTTTATCTTGTTGTGGAGCTCGAGTATTTTATAAATTCAAGATATAAGTCCCTTATCAGACATGTCATTACCTAATATTTTTTCCCAGTCTGTGGATTCCCTTTTTACTCTATTGGAGAAGTCTCTGGATGTGCATAGGGATTTTATTCTTAGAAGATCCCGTTCATCTCTTTTATCCTCTCCAGGTTGTAGGTTTTTCAGGATGCCTGGAAGACTGTTACTACTGTGGATTAGGGCTTCTAGAGTTCTTCCAAGCTTTTCTCTAATGAAGTTTATAGTCCTTGGTTTTAATCCTAGGTCCTTGATCCACTTTGAGTTTGTTTTTGTGTATGGAGTGACGTGTGGATCTTGCTTGAGTTTGAAGAGTTTTCCAGTTTTGCCAACATCATTTTTTAAAAAGGCTGTCGTTTCCCCACTTAACTCTTTTCATCTCTTTGTCAAAAATAGTTGACCATAGGTAGATGGGCTGATTTCTGTATTCTATTCCATTGATCTGTGTGTCAGTCATTGTACCAGTACCACACTGTCTTGACCACCACGGCAGTGTAGTAGGATTTGAAATCAGGGAATGAGAATGAGATGCACCTACCTTGTTTCTCTTTTTAAGGAGTGCTTTGCTTATTCGGGATCTCTTTCCATTCCAAATGAAATTGTAGATTGCTTTTCCATCTCATTGAAGAATGGAATTGGTACGGTTCAAATCCACCAGATGCTCTGCTGGAGAAGGAGGGGCAATCTCCTCCTGTACCAATCAGATCCGATTTGACGGTATACACACACAAAATAATAAAATAAGTAAAATAAAATAAAAGTTTTTTTTTTTAAAAAAAAAAAAGAATGGAATTGGTATTTGTATTGGGATTGTATTGAACGTGTAAATTGCCCTTGGTAGTATTGTCATTGTCACAATATTGGATCCTCCTATCCATGAGCAAGGGATATTCTTCCACTTCTCCAGGTCTCTTTATTTTTTTATTTTTGTGTGCGTGTGTGTGTGCATGTACCGTCAAATCAGATCTGACTGGGACAGAAGGAAATTGTCCCTCCTTCTCCGGCAGAGCATCTGGTGGATTTGAACCGTATACCTCTGGGATTGCAGTACAGCTTCTTTCCACTAGCCACCAGAGCTCCATTTTCTTGTAGTAATATTTTGTAATTTTCTTTGAATAGATCTTTTGTGTTTCTGGTTAGGTTTACTCCAAAGTATTTAATCTTGTGATTAGCTATTGTGAAGGGTATTGTTTTTCTTAGCTCCAGTTCTTTATTTTCTTTGTCACTGTAAAGAAATCCAGTTGTTTTTTTGTATGTTGATCTTGTATCCTTCCACTTTGTTGAATTGGTCGACTATGTCCAGTAGTTTTCTTGCTGTGTCTGTAGGATTTCCTAAGTATACTATCATACCATCTGCATATAGAGATAATTTTGCCTCTTCTTTGCCAATTTGGATCCCTCTTATTTCCCTCTCTTGCCTTATTGCTATCGTGAAGACTTTCAATACCATATTGAATAGGAGAGGTGATAGTGGGCATCCTTGCCTCGTTTCAGTTCTCAAAAGGAATACCTTTAATCTCTCTCCATTGATTACAGTGTTGGCTCTTGGGTTTGCATATATACTTTTTACCATGTTGAAGAAATTCCCCTCTAATCCTATTTTGCTGAGTGTTTTAATCAGGAAAGGGTGTTGGATTTTGTCAAAGGCCTTTTCTGCATCAATTGATAGGGTCATGTGGTTCTTGTTCTTTGCTTTGTTATTGTGAAGAATTATATTGATTGTTTTTCTTATATTGAACCATCCTAGCATCCCTGTTATGAATCCCACTTGGTCATGGTGAATTATTTTTTTATGTATCATTAGATTTGATTGTCCAGGATTTGATTCAGGATTTTTCCATCTATATTCATGAGAGATACTGCCCTATAGTTTTCTATGTGGTAGTGTCTTTACCTGGCTTTGGTATCAAGAATATGTTTGCTTAATAGAATGAGTCTGGGAGAATTCCATCTTTTTCTATTTTCTGAAATAGTTTATGTGTAATTGGTGACAGTACCTCTCTGAATGTTTGATAACATTTTCTTGTAAAACCATCTGGTGCAGGGCTTTTTTTTGGCTGGAAGTTGTTGTATTACCTTTTCAATTTCTTCTTTTGTAAAGGTTCTGTCCAGGTGATCAGTTTCAGTTGGTGTCATTTTAGGTAGATTGCGAATTTCAAAGTATTTGCCCATTTCCTTTAGGCTGTCATATGTCTTTTAAGTATAGTTTTAAATAATATTCCATTATTAGTCTTTTTATTTTAATTGGTTGTGTTTTGATGTTGGCTGTTTCATCTTTTATTCCGATTATTTGTTAGTTGTGCCAGAGGTTTGTCGATTTTATTGACCTTTTCAAAAAACCAGCTTCTGGTGTTGTTGATAGTTTCAATTGTTTTTCTGTTTCCCAGAGGTTTTGGTAAGTTGTGTTTTCATTGGCATTTGTTTCAAGAAACTTTTTAATTTCATTTTTTATTTCTTCTAGTACCCAGTCATGTTCAAGCAAGGTGTTGTTCAGCTTCCAAATGTACGTTTTTTTGCCCCTCTTTTATCCTCTTGTTATTAATTTTGTTGTGGTCTGAGAAGATGCTTTGTATTATTTCTGTGTTTTTTAATTAATTGATTCTTGCCTTGTGGCCCAAGATGTGATCTATTCTGGAGAACGTTCCATGCATATCAGAGAAGAAAGTATACTGTGCTTTGAGGGGGGGGTCCATTAGCCTATAAATATCTATGAGATGGAGTTGGTTTATTGTGTGGTTTAATTCTTCAGCATCTCTGTTGAGTTTCTTTCTGGTAGTGCTATCTTTTCTTGAGAATGGTGTATTGAAGTCTCCAGCTACTATAGTAGTGTTGTCTTTTTCCTTTTTCAGTTTTGTTAATGTTTGGTATATATATTTTTATGTCTATCATTTGGTGCATATTTATTATTGTTATGTCCTCATGTTCTATTGTCCCTTTAAGCATTATGTAGTGATCTTCCTTGTTCTTTGGGATGGTTTTATCATTGAAATTTATTTTATTAGAGATTAATATCACTACTCCTGCTTTTTTCTGGTTACCATTTGCTTGATATATTTTTTCCCCACACTTTTTAGTCTGTCTTTATCTTCACTTTTCAGGTGTGTCTCTTGTAGACAGCATATTGATGATTTTTTTTTTTTATCCAATCTCCTACCCTGCTTCTCTTCAGTGGTGCATTTAAACCATTCATATTCAGTGTGATTTTTGAGAGGCACGGTTTTATGTCTGTCATTGTATTGAGTTCTTTTTGGTGTTGTTGCTAGTTACTTTCATGCATCCTGCTTTCTGTGGCACGTCTGTAAAAAGACTGTCTCTCCATGTTTCCTGCAATGCTATTGGGGTTTTTTGGATTTGTTTTGGTGTTTTTTTTTTCCAAACTCCCTTAAGTTCTGATTTTCTGGGACTATCTTGAACTCTCCTTCATATTTGATGCACACTTTCGTCAGGTACAATATTCTTGGTTGACAGTTGTGTTCTTTGAGTGTTTGATATATATTATTCTACTGTCTTCTTGCTCGCATGGTTTCTGCTGAGTAATTTCCACTTAGTCTTATCTGTGCTCCCTAATAGGTTATTCTTTGTTTCTCCCTCACTGCTTTCAGAATTCTCTATCTTTGGTTCTGGCGAATTTAACTATGATATACCTTGATGTTTTTCTTTTGAGGTCTATTATATATGGTGTTCACTCAGCTTCATATATATATAATTTTCTCTCTCATTCTTCATTATGCCTGAGAAGTTTTCTTCCACAACATTTTCAGTGCCTTTACTTGCTTCTTCCTGCTCTGGGATTCCAATGATGCGCATGTTATTTCTCTTGATGGTGTCCCACATTATTCTTAGGTTTTCTTCTTTTTCCTTCCTTTTTGATTCTGCTTTTTGCTCTAGTTTATCAGTGTTGACAGTGCTATCTTCTATTTCACTGGTTCTGTGTTCCTGCTCCTCAACTCTGTTCAGGTGTCCCTCCATCATGTTGACAGCCTCTAAGATATTGGACCTTATATTTTGGAGCCTCTAATGTCTCCTTTGTTTTATCTGCATTGTTTTGGATTGTTTTTTTAAGCTCCTCCTGGTTTTTGCTTGAAGTGTCCTGTAAGTTTTTCCCTCACCCATTGAAAATATTCAGTCGTTGCTCTTTTAAATTCTGTGTCTGAAAGTTCCATCAGACTTTCTGGCTTCAGGAAATCCATTGATACGGTGTCACTTTTCTGGGGTGACATCTTGCTTTGCACTTGTTTAGGGTGTGAGATAGCTTGCTTCCTACATTAAATTGCTGTGGTAGAGATTTTCATAACTGAGGCAATGATAGGTTCTTGATCTGAAGTCACTGCTACAGAAGAGGGTGTAGCAGTTACTTTGCCTGTGTTTCTCTCTGAATTTCTGAACCAAGGGAATTGTCTGTTCACTGCCTGTGAAAGTGGCCTCTTCTGTTGGATAATTGTTACAGCTAAGTCAGACAAAGTTGCTCCAGATTAAAAGCAGTTAGTTAACTGGATGTGAGGAGATGTGAGGCTCAGGGAGGGAGAACAGGTAAGGCAGGCACACCCACAGGTGTAACTCAGGTGGGCATGTGTTCAGACATCTGTCAAGTGGGCACACTTGGGGACCTTACTCAGATTCTAGGTGTCCAGGTGGGCACACACGGGGACCACACTCAGGCTTCAGCTGTCCAGCTCACGCCCATTAGGCTAACTGCCAGAGTGGGCATGCACTGGGACCTCACTCAGTTTGCAGCTGTCCTGCTCACACCCAGCGAGGCTACCTGCTCATGTGGGGATGCATGGGGACCTCAGTCAGGTTGCAGATGTCAGGCTGGTGCCCTGTGGGGCTGGCAATTCTGGCAAGGCCAGCAGTTCTGGCGGGGTTGGTGGTTTAGGTGGGGCTTGCCCAAAAGCCTTTTCTTTAGGAAATAGATGGTCCATCCTGCTTCCTTAGTCTGTCTGTCTTAATCAGAGAGCTCCACCAAAACCCATCCACAATGGGAAATCCTTTTGGAGTTTAACATACCAAAGACAAAGATTTCAGTATCACAGCAACCCCAAGTAATCACAGTACAGCAAACTGACAGACAAGTGCTACACCACTTATAACAATGTTCTTTCAAAATTTAAATACGAAAGCCCATATCAGAACCAACCTATGGCTGACCCTCCAGTTGAAGAAATTACCCACCTTTCTCCTGCAGAGCAGCTTGTGGATTTGAGCCACCTGCCTTTGAGTTGGCAGTGCAACTTCCTTAACCTAAGCCAGCAGACCTCTCTCTAAGGATACTGTGCTCTTAAAGTAACCACCAAGAGGTAGTCTAGCTGGTACTAGCACCAAGGTGGGAAAAATCAGGGAAGCTGGAGACCCAGGCTTTCACATGAAGTTTGTCACTGAGAAACGCTCTGTCCCTGGATGGGCTTTCCTGTTTATTAGGGTCTCAGTTTCCCAAGAGGTTAGGTCAGATGATCCCTAAGAAACTTTCTAAGCACAACACAAAAAAAGGCCAAGTACTTTCTTTGATTCATCCCTGGAGAAGCATTTTCCACAAAAACCACAAATTTCAAATACTTTTGAAAAGTTGTTGTTAGGTGGTGGTGTTTGGTGCTGTTGAGTCAAGTACAACTCATAACAAACCTATGACCAGCAGATCTGAACCTTGTCCTATCCTGTGCCATCTTTACACTTCTGGCACATTGCGGCAGTCACTATGTCAATCCACCTGGTTGAGGGTCTTCCTCTCCTTCACCGACCCTCTGCCGTTTCCAGCATTATGTCCTACTCCAAGGAATAGCTCCCTCCTAACAAAATACCCAAAGTATGTGAGGCAAAACCTCATCATCCTTACCTCCAAAGAGCCCTCTGGCTGTACCCTCTCCAAGACATATCTGTTTGTTCTCTTGGCTGTCCATATTCAGAGCTCCTCTTCAACACAACAGCTCGAAGGCATCAATTCTTCTTCTGTCATCCTTATTCATTGTCCAGCTCTCAGATGCATAGCAAGTGATCGGAAAGGCTATGGCCTGAATAATATGAACCTTAGTCCTCAAACCGACATCATTACTCTTCAATAGTTTGGAGAGTTTCCCTAACTGCAGACTTTACCAGTGCAATGTGTCTCCTGATTTACTAATTGCTGAAAAGTAGTCAGGAAAAGTTTGAAAAGTGGGGCACTATAATGAGCATTTTTTTATGTGACTTTATCCATCTAGGTGCCACAGGCCTTCCAGGCCCTCAGGGTATTCCAGGCCGGAAGGGAGACCAAGGGAACCCAGGTCAAACTACACTTGGATCAACCGGACTCCCTGGGAGAATTGGTTTACCAGGTATACCAGGACTGCCAGGTCCACCTGGTAAGTTATTAATTTCTCTTTTTCTTAAGAGTGGAATCCAGACTGCAGAAGAGTTTTACTTTTTGCTTTTAGGTGTTTGTTGGGGTTTTTTGGTCTCATATATGAAATGGTTAATCTAGGCCACATGACAACAGCAGAGCGGTAGTGACAAAGACCATGTTGCCAAGTAGGGTACTGTGATGCACATTATGTGAGGATTTATCCATCAGGATGGCTCAGTTCTCCTAGGGTCTCAGGCCCATCCTCAAAAGCTCATTATATCTCAGTCAGAACACTGCCTTTACAGGCTATTAACTACAGCTGTTGGTGTTCTTATTCATCCAAGAACAAACAGGTCATCCTGATAACCAAACGCTACCTAATGCTCCTGGCTCTTGTTTGTATTCCCATATCTTTCACTGTTCTCAATTCCTAGGCCTCTGGTCTTTTAGCTCCCAAAGAAGCAGCATTGGTGCTGTCAAACTTCTCCTGGTCTACACAACTCCAGTGGGGTGGGCTGAGAAAGGAGAACCAAGCTGGAAAACCAAGGTGGAAAGTAGCTGCTTAGAGCTTACACAGGGCTTTTTCTCCTCAGATCCTCCACCAGAGCTTGAGATTCTAGATGCTGAGAAAATGGCTGGCTGTCATTGACTTTGTGTCAATGATGTGTCCCTCAGTGTGTTTCTTTACAAACTCAGTGTTATGACCACAGCGTTACACACCTGTTACCCCTTATGTCCCGCGGGCACTTCCCAGAATAAGTGCTGGGACTGTTGAGTTAGTGAAGTTACCTTGTTAACTTCTATCTCTCTAGTATATAGTGTATAGTACCTGGAACATGGTAAGCATTCTTTAAATATTGCTAAAATACATCAAGCCAACAGGGAATTCTACTGTGGTGGATCTCTGTCTTTATTGCTTTTTTTATCTGCTCTAGTGACTGAATCTCCAGGCCTCAGACCTTGGTGACTGAGCTGCTGTGCTGACTTTTGTCAGACATCAGATTCCTGGAAGGTACCCATCTTTTTTAATTTCTTTCCCCTGTAGGCCCAGCATTAAAGGTTATATCACAAAAGAACACAGAACCAGGATTCCCAGGCCTCCGGGGAGAACGAGGATCCCCAGGAGCTCCAGGCCTTAAAGGAGCAAAAGGTGATTTATTTATTTATTTATTTATTTGCACCCTGGGATTTCATTGTCCTCCCAGCTTCCCAGAGCAGGCTTGATGAGAAAATCAAAAGCCTTGGGAATCTGAAAAAAAGCAATTTTGTACTTTAAATGGGCATTTGATACAGGATCGCTGCCACTGCTATGCTTGGGGCTCTTAAGACTGACGCTGGCAATTGAAGTCTTCTGGGAAAAGTGGATTGCAGGCTGCTTTTTCTATGTCCTCCACCTGCTGAATCCGCCCTTGATCAGAAGTCACTAATCACCACATTTTTTTTTATGGTTGTTATATACCATGGAGTAGGAGCCATTTTCAGAGGCAGTTAATCGCATGGGAGGAGATTGCCCATTCTTCTCCCACAGGGCAGCTGATGGATTCAAACTGCATGCCTTCAGAATTGCAGTGCAGCTTCTTGCCACTAGGCCAAGAAGGCTCTCTGAACAGGTCGAGACCACTCCAAAACAGCCAGTTGGCTGCAGGAAAACAAGTCTAGACCCCACTGACATGGAGGAACTGATTACTTTCCTAGGCGCTTGGCCTACACTGCTTCTCACCGTCTTTCTGCTGCTTTGGGTCATTCCTCCATTCTTTACTTTGAAGTAGGAAGATTGCTAAAGCTCAAATAAGTCAATGTGTAATTGTCACAGGCCAGGCCAAGGGTGGAAGAAGAGGGGAAACTACTAGCAAAAGAAAGGCTTGAGGATGGGGTAGGAGTTTCAAGGACTTGCGATCTCACCTTCTTCCCTCAACCTTTTCCTCAGCCCCAGAGAAGTCCTACTTTATGCTATTTCTTTCTCGTTGTTGTTTGCCATTGTTTCTGCATCAACCCATAGCTGACCCTCTAGCAGGTTTTCACAGGCAATAAATTGCACAGGAGGAAGTGCCCATCTTTCTCCTGCAGAGCAGCTGGTGGATTCGAACTGCCTATCTGTGCTGGCAGTGCAGCTCCTTCACATTGAACCACCCGAGTTCCCTACCCGCTCATAAAATTTCAGTACTGAAAAACAAGAAGCACTTTAGAGGTTTTTGGAAAACATAGCTTCTGCAGTTCAGCATCAAGGATGATAATTTGAGGAGAAAGAACATTAGATTCTAAATCTAGAGTTTAGTATGTTCCTCTGGACCCTTCCTTGACTCCCTCACCACAGAGCCAGCATGTTTCTCAGTACCGCTCTAAGGCAAGGACGACTTTAATGCTCCCTTTCTACATTTCTGTTAGGCCAGAAGCCAAACCCACTGTCACTGACTCACTTCTGACTCGTAGCCTTCCAGCAGAAAAAAGGAGAACTGCCCTTTAGGATTCCCAAGACTGTACATTTTCATGGAGGAAGATTACCTCATCTTTCTCCCATGGAGCAATTGGTGGATTCAAACCACTGACTTTTTGGTTAATAGCCTAATTTACTTTATTAGAGCAGAAAGTTCCGCCAAAGTCTATAGTACATGAGAATTATCTCAGGAAAATTACTAAAAAGCAAATAATTTGGTTTGGCCTTTAAGAGTCAGATTGAGCAAGTCTCGGATGGGCCCAGTACTCTGCCTTGTAAACAGGCCTCACAGGTGACTGATATGCTAATATGGAGAGCTGAGTGTTCACTCAGAGTTTCGGGGAATTATCATTTTCTGAAAGCAAGAAGAGGGAGCTCTGGTGGCTTAGTGGGAAGGAATTGTGCTGCCAGCCCAAACGTTGTTGTCATTGATTGCCTTTTTTTTTAATTGATTGCCTTTGAGTGGAGCTTGACTCATAGCAACCCTATGAACAAAAAGCCTGAAGCCCCTCTACAACTATCGACATTTATCAAAGTTCATAGAATTTCTGGAGGCATGTTGTTTAGGAAGTGGATGCCACTCCTGCTTCCAACACAAGTGGATAGCTTTAACAAACAGAAAATATGTTCTCTTAAAGTTTATCATTGTTGTGTACTGTCGAGTTGGGACCAACTCATAGCTGACCCTCCAGAGGGTTTTTAGAGACAATAACTTGCACAGGAGAAGATTGCTTGGCTTTCTCCCTCAGAACAGCTAGTGGATTCAAATGGCATACATTTGTGTTGGCAGTGCAATTTCTTACCACTTATGAAGTCCTACTTCAGGGTGCTGGCTATAAGGTAAGGTGCTCTCTGTCATTCCTGGAGGAAAGTCCTTGTTTCCCTAACTGTCTGTAGGTTTGCCAATTATTAGTAATCAGCATAGGTCTTGACTTTCCCCTATGTCAAGGAACTTTCCAAAGAACATACTACACGCCTGACTATTCTTTCTGGGTGATACTGAATTTTCCCAAACCGTAGACACTGTGAGTCCACCAGCTCCATGGGAAAATATGAACAGTCTCCTCCCGTGTGATTTACTCCCTCTGAATGCCCGCAGGAGGGTCAGCTGTGAGTTAGTTCCAACTTAGCAGCACACAATGACTAACAGCGACAGTGTAGACATACATGAATGGACAGTGAGCCTAGGTCATGCGCATGTTCTCTTACAGCCTTTTGATTCCCTGCATGAAGATGGCTGGCTGAGTCACAAGTTGCTACTATGATGAGCTCTTGAAAGATGGTTTGCTTTGTTTCATGATTTCTTCCCCCCACCCCTTTCCTCCAGGGGACGCAGGTCTTTGTTTTTGTGATGGTGGTATCTCTAACACCGGACCACCTGGAGAACCAGGCCTGCCTGGGTCACCAGGTCGTATGGGTCTTCCTGGGATCAAAGGGATTCGTGGAGATGCAGGCTCTGAGGGGACCCAAGGTCCAGCTGGGAATCCTGTAAGTCTTACCAAACTTTGGCCCTGAGTGGGAGGCAGCAATAGGAGTATCCTGCATGTACCACTGATCTGCTTTCTAAAGCACATTTTTTCTTTTTATTAAATTTTATTCATTTTAACGAGCATTCACAGAGATTTTGGGTTTTCATTCATTCATTGTTGCACTGTTTTCTCCACTCTCATCCCCAGTTTGTTCTTCTTCCCCCCCCCATGTCTGTTTTAATTGTCCCATTGCCACAGTGCTTGTCAAAGCCAGTTCTGATTAATCTCCTTTGTCAGTGTGTCCCTTGCCATTCCCTATCACTCCTCCCTGAGAGAGACTTCATCCTGATTCATAAGGAAAGGGGATGGCGTATTCTCTTAGCTACTTCCTGCTGAAAAGGGACGCTATGGGTTTCAGGGTGAAGGTCTTCTCTCACTACTCTAAAGGGCCCCTTTGGCAGTAGGAAACACATAGACTATTATGGAGATTGATTTTGGAATTTAGATGCTCTGTTATCAATTGTGCTTAGCCATACTTGTTCATTTCCTTAAAGATGTATCATGGAACTGTTGCAGCCTAGAAGACACAAATTTAACTAACAAGTTAAAAGTACATGAGTAAAAAATTAAAAGCAATAATATTCCAAGTAGAGGTTCTAACAGTGGCACAAATCAAGTTACAGAGGGAAGGTAGTTCTCCAATCTATAGTAGAAAGAAGTCTGTCTAGATGTTCCCTAAAGCCCTTTTTACTCTCGCTCATTCATTGCTGTCAAGTAGGAACCACCTGATAGCTGATCCTGTGTTGAGCTTCTGAGGCTGTAAATAGCAGGGGAAGAGATTTCCCACTCACCTGCCTCTGTTCTCTTCTTACCTCCTTTTTCTCTATCCCTTCTTTTGTCCCACAACATGTGTGTGCTGTTTACATTTGTCCAGCACTATGCTGGCTCCTCAAGGTAAAATTGTGTTAGGACTAGGCTCCTGTCATCAAAGACTTAAAAATTTAGAAAGGACACAGTGAATAACTGGGCAATTATAATCCAAGACAGTGACATAATAAAGAATCCAGAACAGTGGCAGAATGCACCCAAGGACCTGCCTTCAGTCAGACCTTACTTTAGGTGCTAGAATTCTCTGAAAGTTGTGTCTCTTTAATTATTCTTTTTTGTCTATTTGTCAGGGTTTGTTTGGACCTCCAGGTCCTACAGGCCCCAAAGGAGAGAAGGGGGATCCCACCCTCAGTCCAAGATCTGGGGTGCCAGGGGAACAGGGTGATCATGGCCCTCGGGGCCACCCAGGGGAGGCAGGAGTCCCAGGAAAGGATGGAGCTCCAGGTTTACCAGGTCTGCCAGGTCCTCCGGTAAGTTGACCATACCTATAAATCCTCATGTGCACCTGATTTAGAGGTCCCAATCGCCAGTGAACTGTCTGAAAGGATAGAACAGACAGATTTCCGAAGTGTCTCTTCCTAGATTCATTGAGACAACCAGAACATGTTTTTGCTCTATATGTTTTTCATTTCTGTAAAATGAGAGTATGTTTCTGAGGTTGGAGCATTGTCTCATTTGATATGTGCTAGTAATGAGTACTATGGAGATGTTGCTCGAAGGGACCATTCTTGGAAAAAGACATTGTGCTTGGAAAGGTGGAAGGTCGGGGGACAGCGGGAGGTGGATTGACACAGTGACTTTATCAGAGATAGTGACAGTGGCACAGGATAGGGCAAGGTTCAGATCTCTTGTTCATTGATTGGGTCACTACGAGTTGTAGTGGACTCGACAGTACCTAACAGTGATGATAATAACAATTGATAATAACCATCTTCCTGGCTTTCCCCTTCAAGTAATCCAGCTACTTTCTGTGACCTCAGCAGTTGTTTTATCCTGCCCATGATTCCTTCCATTCAGATCTAGAACCTTTTGTCAGATCACCCAGGTTGACAAGGCACATTCTACACAAAGTCAGAGGCACTAGAGTTGATAAGAGAAAAAAATTAAGAAAAACAGTATCACTGTTCACATTGTTTGCCTCTTTTCTGTGGTCAAAGGGCTCTGGATGAGTCTCTAAGTTGAGTTTTCATTCTTTTTTGTGTGCCGTCTAGGGTGATGCTGTACAAGGATTTGCTGGAGAAAAAGGATTCCCAGGATTTCCTGGTAATAAAGGTCATCATGGCCCACCTGGCTTTCCAGGAATCGGGCTTCCAGGATCTCCCGGACGTCGTGGGCTTCCTGGAGATCGAGGAGTAGACGGGTTACCTGGACAACAAGGTCTTCCTGGGCTCCCTGGTGAGTCAGAGAATGAGATGCCCTTGGACTTGGAAAGCTGAGCCTTTAATAATCTGTGGCTAAGATCCTAGTGTATAAAATGTCATAAGAAAATAATTGGCTGGATGTAATCACAACCTGTGTTTTTTTTCAGTGTTTCATGTAGGGGGAAAGGATCATAATTGCATTAGGGTAAGCTTTGTGTCGGCAACTGAAAACAGCATAAATGAAAATGTAACATATTGCTTTCACACACATTTCTAATTCAAAGATCTTTTTTGCTCATGTTGCCTTTTCCTGAAATGTTCTTCCTCTTTTACTTTATATTATTTTTGTTATGTACCATTTAATGGACTACAACGCATAGTGACCCTTTGAACTAGGCCTCTGAACCCTGCCCTATCCTGAGCCAATCTCACTATCTCTGACCCACCTGCCCACATAACCTCAATCACTGAGTCAATTCATCTCATCCAGGGTCTTCCTCTCCTGCACTGTCCCTCCACCCTCCTGGCCACATCCCCAAATGATTTTATGCTCCAGGTACTGGTAGTAACCATTGATCTTGTTTATAACCGAAGCAGCAACTAAAGTGTGCGTGATCTTGTGTGGGTACCAGCTCTTTCCACTCAATCCAGACAGAAAATGTGATTGGTGTCAGTATGTGGGCCCAAGGTCCTCAAGGAACTTCTGTCCTGGTTTCATTTTCTTCTTTATTTGCTTGGTCTATGCCATTGCTGCTGCAGGGGAAAAGGTTGATAAAGGAACCAGAGACACAGAGGGAGGTCCGAGTACTATACTGGAGCCCTTGCTTGGGAAGGGGTGATCCTGGGCCTGCAAAGGCTAACACTGACCCTGCTTTGGAGACTCCTTAATGCATACTTCCTACTGGAGTGCAGAAGTTAGTGGGCAAGCAACCTCTGAGAAGTGGCCAGTTGCCTTTACCGTGCATGCTCCTGGCTTGGCTGATCTCTGTCATAAACGGCTTCACTTTCCAAACTTTACTGGGACCATAAATTGCCTTGGGAGATACCTGGAAAGATTCACAGATGTCTATTCAGTAGTCATTGGATCCAAAGCCAACAGAGATGTCAGAATATTGAAAGGCCAAGGGTTTGGTGGTGGCATTTCTTTTTATTCTTCTAAAGATGAATTCTGACATGAATGGAAGAAAGTCCAGTTAACTTAGACTGTCTGTTGCACATTTCCCAAACAGAACATGTGTAGCACTGATCTCTGCTTTGTTGAGAAGGTTCTGAATTCAGTGACATTAAGTAGCAGGCAGGGATGTAAAGTGAAAGAACTGAATAGTAGGATAATTTGTTGGTTTTTTTTTCTATTTCTGCCATGTTGACCCTCTGCTCATAATTCACAAAGTCAATGTGGTCCTCAGGACAGGCTTGCAGCAAAATTATGAAAGGTAGCATGTCATTTATTCACTCTACTTTCTTCTCATCTATAATTATTCTTGTCCTGGAACCTTTCCAAATGCCTATATCATTTGCTCCCACCCTCTAATAACTGTTTATTAGCTAGCTGTCACCAATGAGAAGAAGCTACTAAATAGATCTGATAAATTGAGGACTGGTGGCTTTATGCTTGAACTTGGTCCAGAGCTATATGCAGTTAAACCAGTTCTTATTTTAAGATATAAAGTAATGGAAGTGCAAGGACACATGGGGACCATGGGATTACTACTTAGGAGCAGAAGAGGCTTCCACAGGGTCCCTCTTATGATATAATTTATGGAAGCATCAAGAGGACCTCAGCTGGAGGTGAGTACAAGGTTGGGAGCCCTCTCTGAAGGAGGCATCTTACTATGAGGCACTCACCCATCAATATCATCATCATCATCATCTCATTGCCAGAGAACTGGAACCGACTCATAGCTGACCCTCCAGCAGATTTTCAGAGGCTGTAAGTCACACTGGAGGAGATGTCTCATTTTTCTCCCATGAGCTTCAGTGGCTTAGTGATTAAGAAGTTGTACTGCCAACCCAAAGGCAGGCGGTTCAAATCCACCAGGTGCTCTGCAGGAGAAAGACAACAATCTCCTCCATGCTCTTCACAGTCTCTGAAAACCCACTGGAGGGTCAGATCTGAGTCAGTTCTGAGTCGGCAGAAATGAACTGAGTCATCACCCGTGAACATAGTAGGAAAAAGAATCCTCTAGAATAGCTCCATCATCTCAGTATCTGTCAGGATGAAGACAGGTGTGTCTACCTAGAGAGGAGGCTCATGGCATGGGGCAATCTCCCCTTCTATGCAAATATGATTATAGAAATGTAAACTTGTTGGAGACCACTTACTCTGTTTCTCAGGGGGACATTATGCCTGGAAGAAATGAATAAATAAAGACACAAGAGACAAACAACTTACAGAGACAAAACAGCACAGGACAGGACTGGACCGGCCAGACAGGACGGAATTGGACCTGGTCTGGGCAGCTGTGCTATCTTTATTTGTACCTTTTGGAAACAAAGAGATGGATCACAGAGAAATAGAAACTTTAAGGGTTACATCATAGAGCCCAGGCAGGCCGGGTACAAGTAGAAACTTCAAGATTAATATAGGGCTTGGATGGGCTGGGTACATGGTTAGATACATTCAACCAAGACTTCTTTGTATTCATAAACTGTGCTTTCTCTCATCTTGCAACAATCTTATCAAGAGCAGGAATAATAATGAAAGTCGGTGTCTAAAGATGTATGAGAACCGCTTGTAATCTTGGTTCTCAGAGCGCCTTGTGAGCTCTGCTTGCAATCTTCTTTCTGAAGACACCTTCTGTGTGCAAGGCACACAGCCATATTCTAAGGATGCAGTCCTTTACATTCTGTGGTCCTCTACATAAACTACAGAAGGGTGCTCTGGTGGCCTAGTGGTAAGATACTGCATTTCAATCCTGAAGGCAATGCAGTTCAAATCCACCAGCTGCTCTGAAGGGATAAGATGAACAGTCTCCTTCTGTGCAATTTGCTGCCTCTGAAACCCCCCTGGAGGGTCAGCTGTGGATCGATTCCAACTCAACAGTTGGAAGTAGCTGAGTTAGAAATCCAGGAGTTGGCCTTGCTCTGGCTTTTCTGAATACACTCCTTAAGCGTATTAATGTAAACAAAAAAGTCGAAGGCATTGGTGTGGAGTTGGTACAGACTCATAACTGAGCCTCCAGAGGTTCCTGAAGCCCGTATTTCTCCTGCAGAGTTGCTAGTTGATTTGAACCATCGGACAAGGGCCTCCTTTGGGTTTGCAGCACAAGTTCCTATGGACTGTGCCACCAGAGTTCCCTCAAGTAAAACAATACAAGGTGACAACAATAAGGGTAAGCACTTGATAGGGAGCTCTGGTGGCCTCTCTTCCCGTGCAATTAGCTGCCTCTGAAAACCCACTAGTGGGTCAGCTATGAGTCACTTCCAACTCGACAGTACACAACAACAACAAGATGCAAGCCACTCTGCTAAGTACCACTAGCATTGTTTCTTATGATGCACAAAAACACCAGCTGAGGTAAATTTTCATATTTCACATGAGGTTCAGCAAAGTTAAGTATCTTGCCCAGACAGCTACTTAATAACAGAACTACAACAAACAACTTAGTGCCCATCCTCACTTCCCAGTCTGAATTTCAGAATAGTGGGCTAAAATTACCATCAAGCCTTTGCATTTGCAGAGGGAGGTTCTGTTGGAGGGTGTCAGCCAGTTGAATAAGAAGTCTGAATCATCTAGCCATGTATCCATAGATTTAAGAAATGCAATTTGTGATTTAAGGACAGACAGAAGCTATAGCAGTTTATTAAAACTGTTAGCTCTTTGGCATAAAGCAGTCCATGGGAAATTGTTTTAATGAATAGGCAAGCCTTATTTTTAATTAGCACAGAAATTGTTTATAAATGGCACTTGAGGGCACCAGCAAAAAATTTGTCCATTAGTATTTTATTAAGCCTCCCCTTTGTAGTCTTATAAACTCTTTATTTGTATTATGACTGAGTAGAAAATAATGTTCTAGCCAAAGGGCTATGTGTATCTGTTTTGAAGAATTTAATATTAAAAGTGACTGCTCCTTCTTGGCTAGGGAGCTCTGGTAATTTAGTGGTAAGGAGTTGAGTTGTCAACCCAGAGTAATGAGGTTTGAATCCATTACCTGCTTCATAGAAGAAAGATGGGCAATCTCCTCCAGTGCAGTTTATAGCCACTGAAAATTCATTGGAGGGCCAGCTATGAGTCTGTTCAACTTGATGACACACAACAAAATCAACAGCTCCTCCTCCTTCAGTAACAATGTTGATAGTTTCAAATGAGGAGCTGAAGGAGAAGGTCTTGGTTGGTCTGTCATGACAGGAGAGTGGCCTTCAGTGTTCACCTGGTATAGACATACAGGTTCATCTGTTGTTGTTATGTGCTGTCAAGTCACCTGTGACCCATAGTGACCTTATGTATAGCAACTCTGAAGCATCCCCTATCTTGAGCCAGTCTTACTGATTGTGACAAACTAACCCCTATTCCCCAGTTACTGTATAAATCCATCTCATCTGTGGTCTCCCTCTTTTGCATTGACCCTCCACCCTTCTGAGCACAAGATCCTTCTCCAAGGACTAGTCTCTCCTGGCCACATACTCAAAGTATGTGACAGAGGTTCAAAATCCTAGCCTCCGAGGAGAACTTGGTTTCACTCTCTCTAAAAAAGACCTGTTTTTTGTCTTGGAGGTTCATGGTATGTTCAAGACTTCTCCAGAACCACAACTCAAAGGCATCAATTATTCTTCTGTCATCCTTAGACATTGTCCAGCTCTCATAGCAAGTAATTGCAAAGACCATGACATGGATCAGACATCATTGCTTTTTAGTACTCTGGAGAGGTCCCTGAGAGCCTATTTTCCCAATCAATCTATTGATTTCCTGATTGCTGGTGCCAAGAGTGTTGATTGTGGTGCCTAGCAAGGTGTAATTGTTAACTTCAATCTCTTCTCCATCTATCATGGTGATGCCAATTGGCCCAGTGATGAGAACCTTTGTCTTGATGTTGA